GTCAAGTATGTGGAGTGTTCTGCACTCACACAGAAAGGCCTAAAGAATGTATTTGACGAAGCAATACTGGCTGCCCTGGAGCCTCCCGAACTGAAGAAGAGCCGCAGGTGTGTGCTGCTATGAACATCTCTCCAGAGCCCTTTCCACACAGCTGGTGTCAGCATCGTACTAAAAGCAATGTTAAATCAAACTAAAGATTAAAGATTAAAATTCGTTTTTGCAAAAAAAAAAAAAGTTTTCCATACATTTCTATTATTTGGCACAGTATCAGAATAACAGGTATTATGAATTCTTTAAACGTTTGTTTAAAATTTCTCTGGGTAGGCGTCTGGCCCTGATCTCTTATTTGCAGGGCGATTTTTGATTACTGCCTCAATTTCCTTGTTAGCTATGGGTCTGTTTTGGTTTTCTATTTCTTCCTGTTTCAATTTCGGTAGTTTATACGGTTCTAGGAATGCATCCATTTCTACCAGATTGCCAAATCTGTAGAAACATATTCTCTTATACATGTTTGTATTTCTTTGCTGTTTGTTGTGATCCCTCCTCTTTCATTCATGATTTTCATTATTTGGGTCCTTTCTCTTTTCTTCTTTTTTTATTATGTTATGTTAGTCACCATACAGTACATCATTCGTTTTTGATGTAGTCTTCCATGATTCATTGCCTGTAACACCCTGTGCTCCATGCAATATGTGCCCTCCTTAATATCTTTTACCTGGCTATCATATCCCCCCACGCACCTCTCCTCTAAAACCTTCCATTTGTTTCTGGGAGTCCATAGTCTCTCATGATTCGTCTCACCCTCCGATTTCCCCCCCCTTCATTTTTCCCTTCCTTCTCCTAATGTCTTCCATGCTATTCCTTATGTTGCACAAATAAGTGAAACATTATGATAATTGACTTTCTATGCTTGACTTATTTCACTTAGCATAATCTCCTCCAGGTCCATCTTGTTGGTGTAAAAGTGCGGTATTCACCCTTTCTGATGGCTAAGTAATATTCCATTGTATATATGGACCACATCTTCATCATCCATTCATCTGTTGAAGGGCATATCAGCTCTTTCTACAGTTTGACTATTGTAGACTTTGCTGCTATGAACATTGGGGTACATATGGCCCTCCTTTTCACTACATCTGTGTCTTTGGGGTAAATACCCAGCAGTGCAATTGAAAAGTCACAGAGTAGCTCTATTTTTAATTTTTTGAGGCACCACCACATTGTTTTTGAAAGTGGCTGTACCAACTTCCATTCCCACCAACAGTGTAAGAGGGTTCCCCTTTCTCCAAAACCTCTCCAACATTTGTTGTTTCTTGCCCTGTCCATTTCTGCCATTCTAACTGGTGGAAGGTGGTATCTCAGTGTGGTTTTGATTTGAATTTCCCTGATAGCTAATGATGATGAACACTTTTTCATGTGTCTGTTAGCCATTTGTATGTCTTCTTTGGAGAAGTGTCTGTTCATTTCTTCTGCCCATTTTTTGATTTGATTATTTGTTTTTTGGGTGTTGAGTTTGAGAAGTTCTTTATAGATCTTGGATAAAAGCCCTTTAACTATAGTGTGATTTGCAAATATCTTCTCCCATTTTGTCAGTTGCCTCTTGTTTTGTTTACTGTTTTCTTTTCCATGCAGAAGTTTTGTATCTTGGTGAAGTCCCAAAAGTTCATTTTTGCTTTTGTTTCACTAGACTTTGGAGATGAGGCTTGAAAGAAGTTGCTTGGCTGATGTCAAGGAGGTTACTGCCTATGTTTTCCTCCAGGATTTTGATGGATTCCTGCCTCACATTGAGGTCTTTATTTTGAGTTTATCTTTCTGTAGGGGGTTAGAGAATGGTCGAGTTTCATTCTTTTGCATGTGGCTGTCCAATTTTCCCAGCACCATTTTTTGAAGAGAATGTCTTTTTCCGTTGCATATTTTTTCCTGTTTTGTCGAAGATTATTTGACCATAGAATTGAGGGTCCATATCTGGGCTTTCTATTCTGCTCCGTTGATCTATATGTCTGTTTTTGTGCCAGTACCATGCTGTCTTGGTGATCACAGCTTTGTAATATAGCTTGAAATCGGGCGACGTGATGCCCCCTGCTATGCTTTTCTTTTTCAACATTTCCTTGGCGATTTGGGGTCTTTTCTGATTCCATACACATTTTAGGATTGTTTGTTCCAGCACTTTGAAAAATGTCATTGGAATTTTGATCGGGATGGCACTGAAGGTATAGATTGCTCTGGGTAGCATAGACATTTTAACAATATTTGTTCTTCTGATCTATGAGCATGGAATGTTTTTCCATCATTTTGTGTCTTCTTCAATTTCTTTCATGAGTATTCTGTAGTTCCTAGAGTATAGATACTTTACCTCTTTGGTTAGGTTTATTCTGAGGTATATTATGGTTTTCAGTGCTATTGTAAATGGAATCATTTCTCTAATTTCTCTTTCTACAGTTGAATTGCTAGTATATAAGAAAGCAACTGATTTCTGTGCATTGATTTTCTATCCTGCCACATTACTGAATTGTTGTATGAGTTCAAGTAATTTGGGGGTGGAGTCTTTTGAGTTATGCACAAAAAGTATCATGTCATCTGTGAAAAGAGACAGTTTGACTTCTTCTTTGCCAATTTGAATACCTTTATTTTTTTTTGTTGTCTGAGTGTTGTTGCTAGGACTTCTAGTACTATGTTGAACAATAGTGGCAAGAGTGGGCATCCTTGACGTGTTCTTGATCTTAAGGGAAAAGCTCTCAGCATTTCCCAGTTGAGGATGATATTTGCTGTGGGTTTTTCATAGATGGATTTTATGAACTTGAAAAATGTTCCCTCTATCCCTATACTCTGAAGAGTTTTAATCAGGAAAGGATGCTGTATTTTGTCAAATGCTTTTTCTGCATCAATTGAGAGGCCCATATGGTCCTTCTCTCTCCTCTTATTAATGTGTTCTATCACACTGATTGATTTACAAATGTTGAACCACCTTGCGTCCCAGGGATAAATCCCACTTGGTCATGGTGGGTGATCATTTTAATGTATATTGGATACTATTAGCCAGGATTTTGTTGAGAATTTTGGAGTCCATATTCATCAGATATATCGGTCTTAAATTCTCCTTTTTGATGGGTTCTTTGCCTCTTTTGGGGATCAAGGTAATGCTGACCTCATAGAATGAGTCTGGAAGCTTTCTTTCTGTTTCTATTTTTTGAAACACCTTCAGGAGAATAGGTATTATTTCTTCTTTGAATGTTTGGTAGACCTCCCACCTACCTTCCCATCAGCAACCCTAAGTTTGTTTCCTATAGTAAAGAGTCTCTCATGGTTTTTCTCCATCTCTGATTTCTTCCCATTCAGTTTCCCCCCCTTCCCCTATGATCCTTTGTGCTGTTTCTTATATTCCAAATACAAATGAAACCAAATGATAATTTTGTTTCTCTCATTGACTGGTTTTGTTCAGCATAATACCCTCTAGTCCCATTCACATCTTCACAAATGGCAAGGGTTCATTCTTTTTGATGGCTGAGTAATATTCCATTGTATATATATATATATATATATATACCACCTCTTCCTTATCCATTCATCTGCCAACACATTTGTTTTAAAGTAGGCTCAGTCTTTGTTATCTCTGATGGCTAGCACATCC